TGTTACTGAAGTACCAGCTTTTCCTTCTATCCTTGTCACTGTGAAAATCTCAATCTATTTATTAATGTTCTGAGCTTCAGTGAGGATCTTTATCTTCACAGGCTTTTTTGTCTCCTGTTTTTTGTATCCAATTATTTTCATATTTTTCCTCTTTATAATTTTTTTTTTATCAATTGCTTTATGAATAACTAATGCCATTTATTTTAGAAAAATATTTTGTTTGGTTATTTCTAGCTTTAAAAAATGCTTTTAAAAAAAGTACAAATAAGAATTTTAATTAATTTGAAAAAACATCACTTATATATCGAAGCAAATTGGGCAAAAGCCCACCTGCACAGGGATTTTCTTTTTTAATTAGACCATTGTAAGTTTCAAATATTCCCTCCCTTTTTTTATGCGTAGTAGTATTACTTTTTTATCATATTTCAGCATCTAAGATCATCAAACAGACTTTTTAGATCCTTAAAGGTAACCTTGGTAGAGATAAAAAGGTTTTAAACCTGTCATTTCAGTAATTAACACAGGATACAGCCATTCAATCTATCTGTTTGCCTCATCTTTGGCAGAGAGCCATCAAGACTTTGCACTAACAAACGCTGAATCTTTTATCAGTAGATTTCAGACCACTCTTCTTTAAAATCCCTTTTAAATTCTGCCACATCTGTCCTTTTAAAAACCTGAGGTAATGCTGCTGTGTTTGAATTTGGATTTTATTTTAGATGACTGTGTTTATCTGTTTGCTTGTAAGACATTCATATGTGGAAAACAAGTATGAAGAGTATGCAAAAACTCTTATCAAGCAACTCCTGCAGTGACTATGCAGATTTCTTTCACAGAAAAACAATCACAGGGTCAGAGAAGCAATATGTGGCTCCACCTGCAGGTGATTTGATTTAGTCTCCTTTACCTCCAGAATCACTAGATTGGGCAAAACTGTTCTAGAAATGGGACTGGCGACCTGTCCAGGGGGTACCCCGCCTCTCGCCCATTGACTGCTGGAGATAGGCACCAGCACCCCTCACAACCCCACTTGGGACAAGCGTGTAAAGAAAATGGATGGATGTTCTAGAAAGGTGGTTTAACAATAACTCTTAGTTTACTCTCTCCAAAGGGAGAAACCTTGGATTCTGCTGATAAACGCCCTACTTCAGTATTAATATGTGTGTTTATAATGTAAAAAAACAGCCAGCAAGGAGCTGACAGAGAGAAGCTGAATGTTTTTTTGCTCAATACAAAACTTGAAATGAAGATAAGCATCGATATAACATTTGTCAGCATTTATAATATCAGAATAGATTCAGGAAGAATTAGTCCATACAATATTTATTTCATAATACATTGTGTTCAATATCAGGCAAATGGTCAAATATTTAGAAACCTAAGACATGTTTGTGTTTCATATTTTACAGGCTGTTTCATTAATATCAATTAAGTACTTTTTAGAAACAAGAAATACTTCATTTTCTTTGCAAACATATTCTAAAAATGTTTATCCTTTGAGGTCCTTAGGCCTCTACTGTACATCTCTGGGGCTCCCTGTAGGATTCAACTCTGCACAATGAAGCTGCTGTATATAAACATCACCTTTATGTAACCTGGATACCAGTGAGGAAGATATACTGAGAACATTTCCTGTTGACAAAATAAAAATCGGGAATCACAGCATTCTTCTTAGTTGAGGTAATGGGATAAGTTATTCCAAACCCAATGTGATCCTTGTTTGATTGATAGTAAACCAAACTGATTTCTTAATTCAGTACATGAGGTCACTTTGACTGCTCATAGATAAAAGCAACGTAAAACATACACAAATGATAAAAGGTGTTTTTTGTTTTTTTTATTAATAAAATGCATCCCAAATTTTGAGATTTTCTAATCCCAGTTTTCCACTTTGGAAAAACCTACCAAGAAAGTTGGGAGATGCATTCTGGACATGATGCTCTCAAGTATTTTTATGATCATTTTTATTTCTTTTGTAGTGGTGCATTTGAAGTATTTCAGATAAATGCTTATCTTAATTCTCTTTATTTTCCTAATCTAACTTATGAAGCATTGAAAAAACTGTTGGTTAAATATCTTTATTTTGTTGATTCCTCTTCAAAGCTCAGCACATTATAAGCTGTTTTCTTTAACATGAAAATGATTTTACTGATCGCTAAAGTTACCAGATCTTTTGAATTTGCTGCTCCAAAGGTATCAAACAACAACAGCACCTGACCCCTCATTTTTTCCTTTAAAAACTCTTTTAAAATATTTTTTCATTCGTTGGCTTTAAACTTTAAACGCAATTGAGCCATTTAGATTCTGTTATCTCAAACCTATTTCAATCCATCAGGAATGGATGCAAATGAGGCAGATGAGATTCCCCTTGATCCATAACAGCCCACACACTCGCCCCCTGAGGGCTTTCCAACTACAATCCACCTTACAAAATACACATGAATGTTGATTACCATCACACACACGTGGCAACAGGCGTATTATACTAACCGCACAGAAACTAAAAAGGAAAATACATGGGTGCAAGGGACTGGTCCTGCATGGTTTCAGGGCGTGGTTTTGTTATTGTCTGCCGGGTTTTCCTTCTTTTACTCATTACATCTATCTATCCATCAGACCTGTTGCCGCTTTAAAAAGCTTTCTTTGTTTTCCTTTTAAAATTTAAATAGTCTCTGTTAGGTAGGCCAAGTCAGCATGAGTAAGGCAGCCTTCCTTATGTCATGTAAATTGAAACAAGCAGATGTATTTTATTTACATATGACTTCTACATACAGATAACATTTATGCAGGGAACCATGTATGACAAAAATATAATCACAAAGAATTGCAAGGTATGCGGTATTCTAATTGTTGTGGTATGGTTGAGACATGGATGCATAAGCATCAGGGAATATTCTCTGTGTGCAACACATCTATGTTGATTCTCCCATTTTAACTTAATGACTGAGACAAATCAAGTGTTCAATAATGTCATGTATATTCAGAGACATGCATGTTGTTATTCCCAGATTTATGTTTAAAGCAATCTTTTTACTTAACCAAAAAGATTAACCACGAGGGAGCGTCGTACAAGAACAGGAGTCTGCAGCCTTTACAATCCAAAGAGAGATTTTTGACTTCAGTCCAGCTAATCAAATGTGTTTAGAGCTTTAAATATTACATGATCTTTTTAAAAATATAAATATAAAAAGATAAATTACAAAGATTAATATCTACCATGGGAAATGTGTCCTTTTGAAAATAGCGACTGTGTAGATTTAAATTTTAGATTTCAGAACTAAGGGGAAAAAATTTGAAAAGAGAATAAATACAATTTCAATGGGTAGATGACATTTGTGGAAAATCATGTTGAAAAAATATTTTCCCAATATATTTTCTAAATCAAAATGTCCAAATATATATATTTCTGTTATACTTAAAGTGGTTTTATTCAGAAAATCCAATGCAATTAGTAACTGGAAAAAATGCTAACCCAAGCATTAGTTAGTACGTCTATATTTTTAGCTAAAGTATTCGAAAGCCTTTGCCCTAGAGCCATAGGTTGCAGACCTCCCAGTTTAAAACACTTGCGCTCGTTGCTAAATACTAACAATTCAATTCAATTCAGTTTATTTATATAGCACCAATTCACAACACATGTCACCTCAAGGCACTTTATAGTTCACCAGATCATACAGTCAAATTGATTCAAAGTTTTCTATCTAAGGAAAACCAGTTGATTGCATCAACTCATTGACTCGAATGCAATCCCTCACACTAAGCATGCTTGTAGCGACAGTGGAGAGGAAAAACTCTTTTAACTGGAAGAAACCTCCAGCAGAACCAGGTTCAGTGAGAACCTGGTACAAAAAGCAACTGTAAAACGCGGCTACATCCAGGAAACACACAGCCAGGCAGATGAGCTCCGAGCCAGCTCCCATGTCAGAGGATGACATGGTTCATCAAGCCAGTCACAGTCAGAGAACCAGGACCACACTGGAAAACAGGCCGATCTCCAACATCTATAAACAAAGGTGTTGATGGCAGCAGCACAGCTGATATTTCTCTCTAAGATGGTGTCACAGCCAAACAGGAACAGATGAGGCAAAGCTACCATGAGAAAAAGCAGAGAGAGCAGAACGTTAGAGATTGAACTAACAGATTGTGAAGAGTGGGAGTATAGAGATAGAATGAAGCAGAATGATGAAATATGGGTCCCTACAGTATGTCCTCCAGACGTCTAAGCCTATAGAAGCATAACTATAGAGATAGCTCAGATAATTTTAACACATGTCAAAACCCCAGTAGAAACTGGAAAAAAAGGTTGGCAACAATTACAGGATTTACCTGCTGAAATACCAATAAACGTTTCCCCATTGCTTATGATTAGGGTTTTAATAGAAATAGTTTTGAATATTAAATTTTAATATAATTAAAAAACAAACAAAAAAAAACCAATAAAGGCCAACAGAACTTTTTTGTTTTGCACCTGATGCCTCTTTTACTGTCATATGTTT